ATTCTCCTGTGTCCCCCAGTTTAGCTGAGAGGTCCTCAGGAGAGTGGCCCGTGTATATTCTCCTGTGTTCCCCAGTTTAGCTGAGAGGTCCTCAGGAGAGTGGTCCATGTATATTCTCCTGTGTTCCCCAGTTTAATTGAGAGGTCCTCAGGAGAATGGCCGGGGTATATTCTCCTGTGTCCCTCAGAACTGGCCTTGTTTAGGACATGAGGTTAGGAAGGGGCTGGTTTTCATGGTGATGAATGAATTCAAGGAGATGTCTCTCCTTCAGTCTCAAAGAAGCAGGGGTGGGGGATGGGGGTCGGGGTGAAGGCCATTCCTTCTGAGTAGTAACATTCCTGAGAGCCAGCCCTCTACTCATTGCTAAGGTGGGAATTTCTGTGGCATGCAGATCTTTCTTAGGTGGGAATATGAAAATATGGGATGTTTCTATTTAGTTTGAACAGATGCCTTTCAGCTAACTCGATCATTTTTCCTTTTGCTCCCTGTCTCCTTTCTGTCTTTCTTTCATGGGATCTTGTTGTGTAGCCCAGGTTGATTCAGGAGCACCATGTAGTACATGAGCCTTCTGTGGATCTTACTTCTCCATGAGGCTGGTTGGTGTCTCAGTTAGGTTTCTATTGCCGTGATAGACACCATGACCAAAAGCAGCTTAGGGAGGACAGGGTCTGTTTCAGTTTACAGCTCCCAGGTCACACCTGGGAGTCACACACACAGAGGGGAGCCAGGACAGGAGCTCAAGGCAAGAGCTGGTTTGCTGCTTATGGCTTGCTCATTTTCTTTCTTATGCAGCCCAGGACTATAAACCCAGGGATTGCATTTCCCACAGCGAGTTGGGTACCCTACATCAATCACCAATTAAAAAAATGCCCCACAATTTACTTACATGTCATTGGATGGAGGCATTCTCACAACCAAGGTTTTTCTTCTGAAATAACTGTAATTTGTGTGAAATTGACAAAAGAACTAACTAGAGCAGTTGGCTCTTTCAGAATTCCTCACATCAGCCTGAATTCACTGGCATTTTGCCTTGGACTAGTCTCCTGCCAAGACTCTCTTTGGTCAGCCCAGTCAATCCTGCCCAGAACCCGCCTTTCCCTTTTTCTGTTATTCTGTACCTGGCCTCCGCATTTAATGCTCTGCCCTAATTTGTGAGGGAGGCCACAACAGGAGTGCTGGGAACGGGTTCTGAAGTGAGTGAGGCATCCTGGTAAATCCTGCAGCCCTGAGGCATGATGGAGCATTTGATACTGATTCGCGTGTTGTATAGCCGCTGTGGTTAGGAAAGCTTTATGACAGCAATTTCAAAAGCCTTGGGAACCAGTTAGAATGTGAGTGATGGGGGAAACCATCTCTCTCTGTCTCTCTGTCTCTCTGTCTCTCTGTCTCTCTCTCTCTGGTTGGGTTCGCATCCTCCTCCAAGTTCTTTACGTTTTTAATTTTAATTATTTTCCAAGACAAGCTCTCATCTAACCCAGGCTGGCCTGTAGACTGGGGATGGCCGTGAACTTGTGATCCTGTATCTATCTCCCAAATGCAACACACTGTCACACCCAAAGAGAGAAAATAGGAGAAGATAATCGAGGAGTGGAGGGGATGCCAGCTAGACATGGAGGAAGTCACACAGACAGAATGAAAGAAAGGTAAAAAGAAAAACTACATGGCAAAACATAGATTAATAAAAGCAGGTTAATATAAATTATAAGAGCTAGTGGGACAAGCCTAAACTAAGGCTGAACGTTCACAATTAATAATACATTTTCATGTCACTATTTGGTAGCTGGCTGGTGGGCCAGCGAAAGACTCGCTGCAACCCTTGGTCCCACCCATGTGTCGTCCTCAACATATGGGTTGCAAGCCCTTTGAGAGTCACATAATAGATATTTTCATTATGATTCATAACAGTAGCAAAATTACAGTTGTAAAGTAGCAGCAAAATAATTTTATGGTTGGGGGGTCATCACAACATGAGGAGCTGTATTAAAGAGTCACAGCATTAGGAGGAGAGAAAGAGATACATTTTAAAATATTAGTTATCACCTTTTAGAAGGGTTTAAAAAGAGAAAGAAAGAATGAAAGAAAGAGAGAGAAAAGAGAGAAAGGAAGGGAAGGAAGAAAAGAAAGAAAGAAGAAAGGAAGAAGAAGAGAGAGAGAGAGAGAGAGAGAGAGAGAGAGTGTCCCTGACGCTCTGCCATTCTGGGACTGAGAACTTCAGTACAGTGTCCTCTGAGATGCTCTGGTGTGGAGAAGGAATGATTGCTGTGAGCTAAGTGTTAGGAAATCCATCCGCCGTATTGTTCCCGGATATTTGTGGTGGATGCTGGAGCGTGCACACCTCCTCAGGAAATTCTACTTACTTCATTCCTCACTGCAGATGCTGGGGCCTTGGGACTGTTTCCCCATAACCTCACACACTCTGAGAACTGCTCTTGAACCATTTATAACTTGCTCTGAGCCTGAGTATTCTGTACCTTTTCATACCTTCCCTCTCATGTAGGTGTAACCCTTGGGAAACACTAGGTAGGGCGCTCAGTTCCAAGCAGAGTTTGTGATGCCAGCAGGTCACAAGTTCCTTGCTAGATGCCAAGTGAGAGGTGGAGAAAGTTTTTCCAGTTGTTTCCCCAGGCTAAGCACAAAAGCTTAGTTTCTCTTCATCGACCAAAGGCCTCTGTGTGTCTTTTGAAGTGGAGGTCGTTGAAGCGTTGGAAATCTGGGTCAAGCCCTCTCCAGAACCCGCACTCTGGTTCTGTGACCCTTCGATGACCTTCCCAGGCTGTGACAGCTTGTTCCAGTCTCCCAGACAGCGCACATACCCGATTGTATCAAAGTATCTTTTCTAGTGCTCTGCTCTTGGCAAACACTGAACCCACTCCAACAAAGCCTTGAATATCCTGAGATCACCCCTCACTTCCTCCCCTTCTGGGACACTCCAGCTGAAGGGACAGGAAAAAGAGGAGCATGGCTTCCACACAAAAGACCCACCAGAGGGTCTGCGGCAGCTTTCTGCGTGATCTGCTCTTGGACATATATCATGGGAAGTCTTCACCCACAGTTCCCTCCCGTACGCTCATATTTCAGGCCTCCATTTAAAAGCCAGCAACTCGGCGCAGCCTGCTTTGAAACAGGTCCTGCACCCTCGTGTTCCTGCATATTTAAAATCTTTTTTTTAAATAGCCAGTCTCTCTACAATAAAACCATAATTCTTTTGAAGGAAGAAGTCATGATTTCTTTATCTTTGTACTACACTGTAATTAATCAATAGAAATTTGTCAGATACACAAATTATCTTGAATGTCATTTAGAGGCAAGGTCTCTGTGATGTGTGATACATTGTATACAGGACCTGAGAGTGCAAAGCCGGGAAGCAGACAGACACCTGGAGGTAGGCTCTGCCAGTTCGGAGGAGGATTAGGTCATGAGGCTGAAATGCCTGGGCAGCTTTTCTGGAAGGTTCTGACTGTGTTGGTAAAGACTGGCGGTGGCCAGGGATTAGATGGCGGGAAAAGGCACTCTACACTCTGGGAATAGTGAAAAGTCACTCAAAAGAGCAGTCAACAGACAAATTCAGCTGCAACAGCAAGATTAGCACTGATGCAATATTGTTCTGAATTTATTGTTTTGTTCTAATTTGTCAGTTGACCCAACAAGGGTATATTATGGTATATTTCCCCTCTAAGTCAGGGTCAAGTCAAATGCCCAGTATTGAATTTGACTTGACCCTGAATTAGAGGGGAAATATACCATAATAATAGTGTCTCTTAAACCTGGAACATTTCCATAGCCTTCTTTTGGTAAAGAAGGATATGTTTGTTTGATTTTTTAAGACTTATTTTTATTTCATGTGTCTAGGTGTTTGGGCTGCATGTCCGGCAGTGCTCACAGAAGACAGTGTTGGATCCCCTGGAACTGGGGTTAAAGACCATTGTGAACCATCACACGGGTCCTGGGAATGGAACTGGGGTCCTCTGGAAGAGTGGGCAGTGCCCTTAACTGATGAGCCATCTTTGTATCCCATTGGCAAAGAAGTTTTAAAAAGGGAGACTCAGTCATTTATAGTGGGATATGCTTGTAACCTCAGCACTTGGGGAGCAGAGGCAGGAGGGTTGCTGTGAGTTTGAGACCAGTCTTAAGTTGGTTCACAGAGCAAGTTCTAGGTAAACCAGGACTACACAGTTGTCGCAAACCAAAGCAAACCAACAACCCCTCAGCCCTAAATGGGGCATCTACATCTTCTGCTCCAGTGCCGTGGGACACCATGGGAAACTTGGCGGAAAGTGTAAGGTGAGAAGGGACTAGGGAGTGGGAGAAGGTAACAGGGATAAACTTGGTCATGAACAATAAAAACAAAATGGAAAAACAAAACAACCCACCTGTCTCACCAAAAGAAGATCCCCTCCCCTCTTAAGTAGCCCTTTTTAAAAAGGTTTATTGATTTTTATTTTATGTGTATGAATATTTTACCTACATGTACTTATGCATACCTGGTACCCACACAGACCAGACGAGGGCATCAGATCCCCTGGGACTGGAGTTACAGATGATTCTGAGCTGCCGTGTGGATGCTGGAAACCGACCGTGGGTCCTCTGTAACAGCTGTCACTGCTAACCCCCGTGCCACCTCCCCAGCCTGGGCTCTTTACCTTTTATTCCGCAGTTTTAGATTCAGTGCTAAACTGAGAGGAAAGTGTTGATACAGCCTTCCCCATTATCAGCACATCCCACCGGAGTGGGACATTTGTTACAACTGATGAGCTTTTGTTGCTGTAGCCATCTAAGGCAGGACTCACTCTTGGTGTCCCATGTGATTCTGGTGAATGTGTGATGATGTCAATCATTGTATTGTTTGCAATCAACTCGCGGCTTAGAAATCCTCCCCTCTGTTTTCCCGCTTCTCCACAAGCTAGCCCATAACCGCTGATGTATTTAATATTACCTTAGTTTTGCCTTTCCCCAGAACGTAACAGAGTTGAAATCATATAGTACTTTGCTTTTTCAGATGGGCTTTTTTTTTCACTCAGTGATATGCATTTAAAAATTCCCTGTGTTTTCCATAACTTGGTGGATCATTTCTTTTTATGTCAATGTACCACAGTTAATTTCTTAAGAGTGTCTTGATTTCTTGCAAGTGTTGACGGTTATAAATAAAGTAGCTTGTGTTGGCTAATCTTGATTGTCAACTTAATCAGATTGAGGAATACCAAAGAGATTAGTAGAAGGTATGTCTAGCGGTGTCTGTGAGGGCATTTCCAGAGACTCTTAGGTTGAGGCTCTAACCTACTGGAAGGAATAATCCCTTGATGGATTCATAATCTGGAGGAAAAAAGGAAGTGGGGCATTCGTACTTGCAGAAGAAGGTTACTGAAGGTGTGTCCTCGGGTTCTATAGCTTTTCGGGACTCCATTCTGCTGTGATCTGCTTCCTGTCAATCATGAAGTCCTAGCCACCTCATCTACCTGCTCCTACGACTGTCTTTTGTTGACTGTGAGTCCAGAACCAACAGCGGCAAAGACTGTAAAGACGGTCTCTGAAATTGTGGACAAAATAACTCTCCTCCCTTAGGTGTTGGCATGGGCACTTTGGCCTCTTGTGCACACTGCTGCAAACACTTAGGTGCAGGTCCTATGCAGACATAAGCTGTAGACATGCTTCCCGCTTACCTGAGTGAACACCAGAGTTCCACTGCTTGATCACAAGGCAACGTGCTTGGTTTTGTAGGACATCTTGCTTTATTTTGTTTTTGTGGCAGGACCTTGCTAAGAAGCTCAGACTAGCCAGGACTGTGGCATCCTTCTGCTGGGGTTATAAACATGCACCATTATTCCCAGAATTTTTCATTCTTATTAACATACAGTAATGGTACCTGCCATGGGTACATGTGAGAACAGCATGCCCTGATCAGGGGGTGGGGGCAGCATTTTTTGGGGCCTTTGAACTTCTCACTTCTAGTTCATCATATAATATTTTGTAGGTAACGGGAGCTGTAGTCACCTGACTCCTGAGATCAGCTAACACTGGTCTAGAAGAGACAACAGGGGCTTTTAAAGATTTTTTTTTATCCACTTTCCACTAAAAGGCTTCATTACATGGATAATTTGATGCTAACTTCTGAGTGTCTTAAATATTTGGAAAGACATCTAAAAATACTAAAAACAACAGAGTTTAAAAAAAGACAAGTCATCTAATATGGGTAAGGAAAGGAATGCCAAAACGGCATGTGGTTTTTAATTGATGATCTCAGTGTTAAGGGTGGGCTAAATTGCTTGAATTGCTGGCCCCCCAAACAATAAAAGTTATTACTCCTGCCCTTGGTTGCATGCCAGAACCAGATGCTGAGATCTTATTGCTGAAGATGCCACAGGCTTTTGTTACAGGACACGGAGAAAGAAAAACTGGGACTGATCTGGAAACTCCTTCCTGGCTGTTATTCACGGTGCCAGAGAGGCTGTCCCTGCAGGCTGCTGGAGGGGGATTGCTGCCAATAGCCCCGCTCGGCTGTGGGCCCTGAGTTCCACACTATCAGCCCCGCTCGGCCGTGGACCCTGAGTTCCACACT